CTTTATCAATCCGAATGGTGATTACTAGGGCATCCTTGTGTGGAAGTGCCAGACCGTCGAGGTCGGCAACAGAAAAGTGGATAGTCTTGGCATTATGCCGAGGTCTTTTAGACGGTTGCCCCCCATACTTGTTTTCATCTACCTTCACGACTTGTGAAACCCTCTAAAGGTTGGTTCAAAGTGTATGATAAGTTGATCTATCTACTGTACAAGCATTTATTATTTCGATCACGGCTTCTGCCTACTAGGACACGTCGGCTCCTTCTTCTGCCAACCCTTTTGAGGACTTGTTGTCAATGAACTCTATGAGGTGTCCTTCTCAGACCAACTGCTTGAGGACTTGTATACTCTGCAATCCTCAGTCAGATGCCCCACATCCTGATGGTAAGAACACCGAGACGTCAAATCTCTAGAGAATTGGTCCCTTTGCATCTTTGGAGCCCATTTAAAAAAAGACTCCTTTTTTATCTTATGAAGCATTTTTGTAGATGGGTTCTTTGAAGACCGTGCTTACCCCTTGAAAAGACAAGCGGCTCTAAGTGGGGGCTGGTGCCCCCTCCTTACAAGCAACTCTCTCTCCCGTCTCTTTGGCGTTGAAGCCCTAGGCTCGGTCACAACCAACTCCTCCTCCACCCTTGTGTACTTGTTTATTCGAGTTATCAGGTCCTTCATGTCCACTGGAGCTCTCTTAGTAAGAGAATGGTACAAGTCGGTGTCTCGGGACAATCTAGCCAAAATGTCGCCGCTGCCATAGCCTCCGAGCATGCCTCAACCTTATTAACCTCATCCCAGTACCTGATTGCATACTGCCAAAGGGTCTCTCCACCCCTCTGTTTGAGCGTTAGTAATGCGTCGATATCTTTCAGCCTCTTACTGCTGGTGATAAATTGAGCAACAAAGAGCTCGGTCATCTACTTCCAAGACCTGATGCTTTCGGGGGCCAAACTCTCATACCACTTTATAGGAGTGTCTCCCAAACTTATAGGGAACACTCGACACAACAATCTTTGGTCAGTGTCGTAAATAGACATCAGCTGCTTGTATTGTCGCAGATGACTCTTGGGATTCGTCCTTCCATCATTAACTTTGAAAACAGGGGATGGTGAACTTTTTAGGCATCTCAATCTCCCTGATTGCCCGAACAAATGGAGAGACGATTTGTTCATCCTCAACGTCTTTGTCCTCCCTGTGGTATGGCCTACGGCGCTTGGAATCCAATCAAACTTAGAGATCTTTCTGGGGTTTCATCATTCTAGGCTCCCTGGCAGTAGATTCAGTGTGGGACTCTGCCACTACAACACCTCTCGAGAGCCTGTGATAAAAATCTTCACAGGGAAGGTCCGTTCTATGCTTGCTCTTTTCTAATCTTTGCTTAGGAGTGGGCGTTTCATAACTCCAGGGCTTGCTTTTCTTGCCCAAGCGCCCATATACACTCCTCCCTGGGGAATCCAACCTAGCACCTCTGGACTTACCCCCACGGACACTCCTATCTTCACGTTGGCTGTTTTGTCCGCTAGCATTGTCTGACCGCTCAAAATCATCGAGTCGAGTCTACACCTTGACATTGTCCTTCTCAAGTCGCTTAAGACTTTCCCATCTGTTTCTTCATTAACTCGATGATTTCACAAGCCAAAACGCATTGCCCCCCGAGGCTTTGATCTACCGACAAAATATGTTGTGAGGTTTGCTGGCCTCCATCTAATTGGCTCAAGTAGTCTGATTCAGTGACTGCTGGGAGCTTGCTAGCTTTCGTGTTTCTCACGCGTAGGCTGCCTTCCCCATCACCTTGGGATCGTGTATTCACCATGAAACTCTCATTACAGGGAAAACTAGTTTGCGAGTTCTCACAGACGACGTCAAATTGCACGGGTGAGTTTGTACAATGAGTAGAGATAACGATCCATTGTATGATGAACCTGAGACAATCAAAAGATTAGGAAAGGAGTCGAGTAAACACCCGACTAATCCCCTGCGAAGCTTAAGTCAGTTGGCGTTTGAGACAATAACACAATGTATTTTCTAGATTTAGTTTGCGTACCTTTGTTCAACTTCCTGAGGGATATTTATACCTCAATTAGTAATGATTAGGGGTTCTGTGAGTCGCATCTCAGCATTTAATGGCAGACGCTCATATCCAAGCATAATGAGTGCAATCCAATCAAATCCCCTCAAGATTTACCTCATCGGGAGAGTGAAGACATGCTCAGGAACCTCCAAGTATTAACTGCCCATCTCTGATCATTTAAGAACCTCTACTCGGTGCTTCACATCTATGCCCGAACAATTACTGCTCGGGAATAAGTACCTCGGGTCTTGTCGAGGACAATTGGTCGACGTAACAATAATTAATGTCTTACAATAATGGTTGTCTTTGCGGGTTTTGAGGACAAGGAGGCTCATTAATGATCGTGACACAGTCACTTAAGTCATCATTAATGAGCTGTCATATTTTATTTAATGCTGGGCTCGATAAGTGGAGCTCGTCGTTTCCATGCTGTAACTCCTCGGTATCCTCGTTTGGTGACTTTTGCAAATTCCTAACGACTATAACTATCCACGTGTCAACTTATGCTTGCTGAGTCGCCTAAAGTCCCATCAATTACCTACCTTCTTTGTTTTTGAAATGAATCATTGCCTTCAATATACAAAACCTTTAAGAATATTAAAGTGGGCAACCTCTAAGCATATTCTACCATGGAATATTGCAATTCAATGCAACAAATAACACTAAATTAATAACGTGGTGGGTGGCCAATGCTGCCATAAAATTTAATTTTATCCATTGGCAAAATTAAGGTTTCTATTTTCGTAACTGTAGGTCCAAAAGGTTCAGTGAAAATTGCAACAAAATTGACCATGCAAAGCAATCAAACGTCGCCTTTGTTGTGCAGAAGGAAAATTAGTTTTCATCGCAGTCTCTGGTTAGTCATGGCTTTATCATGGCAGTGGTGAAAGAAGCTAGAAGATAACTTAAAGTGGGGGTCCCACAAGTGCAGTTTCAATTAATTATGGGTCACTTTGTAGATTGTGATCCTTATTGATTTTAACAGTACCCGAATAGTTATATTAAATAGGGTTTTTTTTTTCAACAAGACAATTTATAAGTGTCTGGATTAATTTTCTCTTCAATTTGGTCAAAGATAAATTATTTAAGCAGAAATTAAGGTATTTATGAAAAATCAATTTCTCATGGTCTGAGCTTAATGAATTGTTAAGATTCAAATTTAAAACATCTGAATTTCTAGTTCGTTTATATTATTACTTGAACTATCCTTGAAGTTATTACCACTTGAAGTTGTTCAANTTCGTTTATATTATTACTTGAACTATCCTTGAAGTTATTACCACTTGAAGTTGTTCAATAACATATTATCTCACTAGTTATAACCCGTGCCTGAAAGCACGATAGAATATAAAATTAAAGCCCAAAAAAATCAATTTCAATATATTAAATAATAATTTTTCTTTTCTTCATTTATTTAATTATATCATTCAAAATCTATTTTTTTCTTAAAAATATTAACAAAATTTTCTCAAAATACGTAATTCGATAAAATTTTTTTTACATATATAAGTTATCGTATATGGATAATATCTGAAATAAAAATTATGTTAAAATATAAATTAATTAAATATTAAATGATTAAATGTGATAAAAATGAGTGATGTGATAATTTTGAGAGAAAAATATATAAATGAAAAAATTTAACTTTTTATATATTTTATTATAGAGATAGTCGAGAGGATCTATAAAGTGAAATCAAACCCAATTTCCAATTCAGACAAATAAGTGAAGCTTAATCGTATGTATACCACAAAGTACCAACTTCTACTATTGAAACCTGACGATGAATGAGGTTCCTTATTCCTACAAGCATCAATAATCCAAGAAAAGGCGGCAACCATTTATATAATAATCTATTCTGAAAAAAATTCTTAAGAGTTTCAAATTTCAATAACTTCCACCTGGATAGATCAGAGAAAGCGATGGAACTTCTATTATCCTAATGAAATTAGTTATTTTACCCACCAAACAAAAAAAAAATGTTTTGAGTGATGAAGACAATATAATAAGCGTTAAGCATATCAACTTAGATTAAGCATCAAGCACAAGAAATTCTCTTTCTGTAGATGAAACAAAACTCCAAGAAATAGTAGGACAAAAGAAAAGAGAGCTAATTATTCTTGGAGTAAAGTTTATTGAATCTAAATGAAAACACCACCATGGAGAGAGAGACAGGGAGAGAGAGAGAGACAGGGGCTTCTATTCCGTTGCTAAACTATTTGTTGTTTTGTGTCTTGTGGGTTCAGCAACTGTCGTCACTTGAAANGAGAGAGAGAGACAGGGGCTTCTATTCCGTTGCTAAACTATTTGTTGTTTTGTGTCTTGTGGGTTCAGCAACTGTCGTCACTTGAAACATCATGTCCCCTCACATTTGTTCACCTTTCTCTTTCTTCACCACTATTTCGTGCGACCTTTTCTAATCTTCCGTTTGGAGCTTCACTTTTGTTTGTATCTTTCTGCATTATGGAACCCCACATTGTACAAAAGGGTATGAACAAACAAGCCTGCAAGTGCAGGCTTTTCTGAGATTGGGTCGTTTTTTGCCAGTTTTTGCTCATCCAGAGCATCATTTTCTCTTTGCTCATACTTTCCTCATGAATTGCCCCTGTTACTTTCAGTTATTCAAGTCATTTCATGCTAATTTTTTAATCACTCTTAAGCGTGTGAGATTTCCTCTTTCAGGTCACACATTCCACTTGAGTTCACTCGGTTATTGACAAGTTAAAGCTGTTGAATTCACTCGACTCTGAGTTTCTGATCTGAAACCTGAAATTGGAAAGTCCTATTTATGACAGACCTTTTCTGGGTTTCAAGAATTTGCTGTTCTTGATCTTGTTTGGAGGAAGAAAAGTTATGCTGCTGAGAGGGTTTTGGAGAGTGGAATGAATCGAGGTAACTGGTTGACAAAGTTTTGCGTTTATTGGGTGGGGGTAAGATGAATCTCAGGCAAACAAGTGGGAAAGAGGGGGGTTCGGATCTGGTGGAGCGAGTTGTGATAGTTGCTGTTAAAGCATCTAAGGAAATCTCAAAAACTGCCATGGTTTGGGCTTTAACTCATGTTGTTCAAACCGGGGACTGTGTTAAGCTGTTGGTGGTCATTCCTGCCCACAGCTCAAGTAAACTTCTTTGCCCATATATATATGTGTGTGTGTGTGTGTGTNACTGTGTTAAGCTGTTGGTGGTCATTCCTGCCCACAGCTCAAGTAAACTTCTTTGCCCATATATGTGTGTGTGTGTGTGTGTGTGTTGGTATATCCATGGGTTTTAGTCAATTTACCCTTTGAATCTTAATATGCCAATGTCATTTTGGGCTGTACCTGTTATGCTTATGCTACTAATGCTATGCTTGATGGCTATATTAGCACCTCTAATATGATAAGACATCTATTCTTGTAGCAATAATGCATCATATAACATGAAAAAAGAGGCTAGTTCATGTGTCTGATTATGATCTATGTTGATTGGTGTCTAGTCGTTCAGTACGAGATGGATTGATTTTGGGATAACCATGGGGATCATATTGGAGTTGGGATCCAATGGAAATTTGGGCATTTATTACTTGCAGCGTATTTTAGCCCACAATTTCGAGAATATATCATTTCTGATGCCATTATACTTGTAGATTGTTATTAAGTTTGATGAGATGTGTGTACAAGAAGAGTTCAGTGTGTGTGTGTGTGTATCCTTAGAAAATTGAGTTTGTTACGCATATTGCTAAAGCAGATAATTGTCAAGATGAATTGCCTACGTTTGTTTTTTGAATCTGCATATAAAACCAGGCTGGCTTCACTCAGTTTTCTATCAATATCATCCAACTTATGCGTATAATGCATTGTCAAAATCCATAGCGGTGTTTCTAGGGCCTGTGATGATTGTTCTTCATTTGGTTTGTTCTTTTATCTGCCCTGTCAAAGCAGTTGCTATTGATGACATGTGCAAAAAAAAATTCGTGTTTAGGTAAAAGACTGAGGGGAATTCCAAGATTCTCTACTGATTGCACTGCTGGTCGCTGGAGATCTTTCTCAGGAATGATTTTGGATGAGAAAGAAGATATTACCGATTCGTGCGCCCAAATGATGCTTCACCTCCATGACGTTTATGATCCGGATAAGGTAAATGCATCTATCCATTTTTTAGAAGTTTACTTCTCCCATGCATCATGCAGTATTGAGTATTCCACACCTTCCAATTCTTCTTCTCAGATAAAGATCAAAATAAAAGTCGTTTCTGGCTCACAATGTGGAGTAGTGGCTGCTGAAGGCAAGAGAGCTCAGACACACTGGGTTGTATTGGATAAGTAATATAGATAATATAAATCTTGTTTCTTTGTTTAGTGGTCTTTGATTCCAGAAAAAACTCTGTTTATATTTCCAGTATGCATAGAATCTGGCCGAGAATTTGGTCTCTTAAGACATCAATTCTTGTTTTCCATCAGTTCTTTACTTTATTTCTGGACAGAAAAATGAAAAAAGAGGCCAAAGTTTGCATGGAACAGCTGGAATGCAATGTTGTGGTAATGAAGAAGTCTTGTCCAAAGGTGCTTCGTTTGAATTTGGTTGGATCATGTAAGATGGAAGCGGAGGTGCTGTCTGTGTCAGAAGCATCTGTAAAACATCTGGAAAACAACTGCGATCTGTGGAATGCTACTCAGGTTCCAAATGTGACTCCAGCAAGCAGTCCAGAGCACGCATCATTCACCGCAACTGATATTGGAACATCCTCAATGTCAAGCTTAGACCTTGGGGCCTCTCCAGTTTTCATTTCTGGAAACATTTGGGATCTAAAGAAAGAGGGCTTCTTCTATACCAGAGGTATCCATAACCTTGATATCTCTGAATCTGACACAGACAGTGAAAAGTTGAGTTCTCCTTCAACAACTTCGTCTTCTCGGCAATGGATAACAAATATTCTCAGTTCTGCTGGTGACTTTTCAAAATATTCAATGGAAGGTTCAAAAACCTCCAATGGTCAAGCTCTAAACTCCACGTCTGAAGCCTTGTGGGGAAAATCCTTGGGCCTTGATCCAAAACCAGGAAATCAAGTGCTAGATGACAGGGCTAATTTCAAGTTGAGTAAGAATGTCAGAGAAATGATGTCATTAACAAAAAATGCACCTCCTGACCCTCCTTCACTGTGTTCAACATGTCAGCACAAGGCACCTGTATTTGGAAAACCTCCTCGGTGGTTCACCTATGTTGAGCTTGAACATGCTACGGGTGGATTCTCTCAAGCTAATTTTTTGGCCGAAGGTGGATATGGTTCTGTATACCGAGGGGTCTTACCAGATGGCCAGGTCATTGCAGTCAAGCAATATAAATTGGCGAGTTCTCAGGGAGATCTTGAATTTTGTTCAGAAGTGGAGGTCCTAAGCTGTGCACAACATCGTAATGTTGTGATGTTGATTGGATTCTGTGTGGACGACAGGAGAAGGTTGTTAGTTTATGAGTATATTTGCAACGGGTCTTTGGATTCTCACCTTTATGGTATGCTCCTTTCTAGTTCTACCCCTATCTGCTTTATTTAGGGAGTACTTCCATAATTACTTGAGGTTGGATACCGAAAGTCATAGAGGTCATGGCTATTTTGTTCTCTTGGCTTTCTGGTTATTTTGGGGCTGTCATTTTGATCATCACGGCATCGCCCGACAAGTTTGGTCCACTCATCTGGGATTGTGTTGGCAAATGGGATCAGGCTATTCCACTATGAGACCGTGCCTAACAGAAAACATATTTGGGCGCTTCTGTAAAATGTTGATGAGAATATATGTGACACTGTTTAGAAATAGATAATGAATTTTTGGATAATGAGGATATTCATATGAATTTTAAGCTATTTGTGCTCTCACTTCTGTGGCTGATCAAGTCATGTGCTGCTTTTCCTGAATTGCAGGACGTAGTAAAGATCTGTTAGAATGGTCAGCACGGCAAAAAATTGCAGTTGGAGCTGCTCGAGGGTTGAGATACCTACATGAAGAATGTAGAGTGGGCTGTATTGTCCATCGTGATATGCGGCCAAACAATATTCTCCTCACTCATGATTTTGAACCACTAGTACGTCATTTCCTCTTCATTGCTCTTTATGGAATGTTTAAATATGATTTCCGGTCATGCATTTAAACCTTTTGAACAAAAAAATAATGTTTAGATTAGGTCTCCTGCAAAATGAAGAGAACCACTTTTGAGTAATAAACTACCAAGTATAATTTGGTGGAAACTGAAGTTGGTTGGATAGATTCTGTTATTATTTTACCTGGAGTTGAAATTGATACTCTATATTATTCACTGTATAGAGATGGGGCTATGGTTTCATTCCCACACACAAATTCAATTCATAACAATAAATACTAGGAGTCAAATGAGATTTATCTAACTAAACCAAGCTAAGCTAACGAAAGGTAAAGGCCCCGAAGCCAGGTCACGGTGAGGGGATGGACCCAACATAATCTCTAGCATATGGGCGACGACTAAGATCTAATGACATGATGCCTAATTCAATCAATTCAACCACATTTCTTTGCTGAAAGTTTTCTTGATGAAGATATAGATCTATGAAAGAATCACATTGACATAAATTTTTATGACAAGCACTTTTGTAGGTTGCATTAGAAGTATCCATTGGAGGATTGACTATTCATCCCCAGACTGATCCATGCTATTCTCTGTGTAGAATTAATTAGACTTATGATTTTTCCTTGCTTTTGCTGTATTTATGTGACATTTAGGTCTCTCTCTCCGATACTTTCTATTCTTCTTCATCATCATCTTCTTCTTCTGTTAAGGTGGGAGACTTTGGACTAGCAAGATGGCAGCCAGATGGAGACCTCGGCGTGGAAACTAGGATAATTGGAACATTTGGGTAGACATGAAAGATTGCTTTCTGCTTCTTTTTCCTTTTTTTTTTAATCCTAAAATAATGAGCACTGGTTCGTCCTTTTTCTCTCTAATTTAGATATTTGGCTCCTGAATATGCTCAAAGTGGCCAAATCACTGAAAAGGCTGATGTTTACTCCTTCGGAGTGGTATTAGTGGAGCTCATCACCGGACGGAAAGCTGTGGATATTGACAGGCCCAAGGGCCAGCAGTGCCTCACTGAATGGGTAAGAGTTTCAAAGCTCTAGTTTTTTTATGTTGGCAGCACTATATGTTGGGGCTTCTTGTTATATGAAATTTGTATTGAAAAATATTTTATTTCGAAGAGGAGCAATGAGATGTCTTCTACACTATCTTGTTGATCCTGGTGAATGTTGCCTATTTTGTATCTTTATGGTATCACTTTGACCAAAGACAGCTTTGTAAATTTGTTGGTGGTTTTGCTCATAATTTAATTTGGAGCAGGCACGCCCTTTGCTAGAAGCAAATGCCATTGGGCAACTAATTGATCCTCAGTTAAGGAACACCTATCCGGGGCAAGAGGTTTATTGCATGATGCATTGTGCTTCCTTGTGCATTCGGCNCTAGAAGCAAATGCCATTGGGCAACTAATTGATCCTCAGTTAAGGAACACCTATCCTGAGCAAGAGGTTTATTGCATGATGCATTGTGCTTCCTTGTGCATTCGACGAGACCCTGATTCAAGGCCTCGTATGTCTCAGGTTTGGGAATCTGAACTCGTGTTTGAAAACTCTGGATAATTTATAGTAATGCAGCTACTTTATTTGTACCCATACTTTGCAGATTTGCAATTGCTCACTGGATCATTGTCTTTTGTAATCCAAATTATTATGTCTGGTCAGAAGATTAGTAGTTCCCGTATAATAGCAGATGTTAGTATTAGGCTATCGTGTAACCTTCTAGCTGTCACTTGGGGTGTTCTTTAGAAGAAGAGATCTATCAAACCCCCCTTAGAGTAGGTCCAAAACATTCCAAGAGCTTTGAAATGGAATTTTAACCCAGCTAGATTTTCATTTTGCATCAAGAAAATACTAGTTGCACACCTGGAACAATGGGGCCAACGGAATTGTCAGCCTTCCTCTTCATGGTATTTAAAGGCAGAACTCCGAGAACCCTTTTAGCATTTTCTTGAAGCACTGAAGAATAGTTCTTCATTTTTCACTTGTATCTTGTTTGCAATTTTCTCGGCTCTTGATATTATCAAAAGGCAGAACTATGGGGACCCTTTTAGCATTTTCTTGAATCTCTGAAGAATATTTCCTNGCTCTTGATATTATCAAAAGGCAGAACTATGGGGACCCTTTTAGCATTTTCTTGAAGCGCTGAAGAATATTTCGTNATCTTGTTTGCAATTTTCTCGGCTCTTGATATTATCAAAAGGCAGAACTATGGGGACCCTTTTAGCATTTTCTTGAATCTCTGAAGAATATTTCCTCATTTTTCACTAATATCTTGTTCACCATTTTCCCGAAAATAGGTGCTTCGAATATTGGAAGGGGCCATTTTCACGAGCTGAACTTGTATGTCAACCTCTAGACGTGATCTGAGAAAAGGGTGGTAAAGATGTAGCCAAAACGAGAGGAGCAAGATCTGCAGCAACAAAGGAATAAGTAGGAAGCTTCTCTTATGAGACAAGAAGGGCTGCTCACATGGAGGGAAAAAGTGAAGAGGACATCCTATGAAGACCAATTGCATAGAGAAGTCATGATGTGCAACATTTTATTTCCTTTCCAGTTTCAACCCCCCCCCCCCCCAAAAAAAAAAAAAAAAAAAAATTTGCATTATGTAGTTTGTATAGTTGTGACTTTGACAGATTATTCATGAAAATTTGTTATTCTTTTTTTATTTTATTTTCCCGGTGAAAAGGAGATGAAGGGTTAATGAATGGTGATATTGGGTCTTTATATGATGTTCTTACTTTAGCTTTTGGAATCCATGAATTTATATTCATTNAAAAAAAAAATTGCATTATGTAGTTTGTATAGTTGTGACTTTGACAGATTATTCATGAAAATTTGTTATTCTTTTGTTATTTTATTTTCCCGGTGAAAAGGAGATGAGGGGTTAATGAATGGTGATATTGGGTCTTTATATGATGTTCTTACTTTAGCTTTTGGAATCCATGAATTTATATTCATTTGAAGTTGATTGGGACCATCCACTGTACCAGAAAGAATGGGGATAATACAGTTTTAATGGGAAAAAAGCTCTGATAGAGCCCCCTAAACCCCATTTCACAAAATATTTATAGTAGTGCCAAACCACCGATTTCACAAGTTTCAATCTCCCAGTGATCTTATTTGTGTTTTTTTCCTTCTTTCAAAGCAATTTTTATAAGCATTGGTCTCACATTTTTTTTTTTTTTTGTGGTGAATGTCATAAGCACTGTTGGCACACCAATGTGAAAAATAGAATAAGTAGTGTGTGTGTATGTGTGAAGCACATTCGCCTCAACGTATTTTGTTGAAATGTCAATCTCGAGATTGGAAACTTGAGTCTTATACTTTGTTGTTGATGCAAGAATTTATGATTGGGATGATTCTTCTTTAACAAGAACTACCATTCTTAAATCAATATTTTTTTTTATTCTTTTATTAAGACTTGCACACTTTCTTTTACAAATTATAGAAACAGTTGACAACAATAATTAAAATATAACTTTGCAATTAAGCTACGGAAAATTTGACTAGACACATTCAAATAATTATAACTTGTGACACTGACACATGTTGGTGTGCAAGTTCGGACACAAAAAGGTGCAATCTCATAAGCATATTTACTATAACTTGCAAATATAGGGAAACTGAGGATTATTTCATTACTTGAGTTACGGAACAAAAACTTTTGGGGTGTCTAGTGTAAATATTAAAATATCTTAGGTCTTTATGTAATTGATTAATGATAGGTATTACTATAACTTACAAATATAGGGGAATCAACTGTAATTTAATTAGAAAAATAAAGTAATTATTGCACCTAATAAATTATAATTAGCTTATTTTTCAACGGTGAGATCAGCTTCTATTTTTTTTGGATGTGTGGTTGAGATTACTTCTAACAGCTATAAATTCGGGAAAAAGAGAACCAAAAGACGCCGAAATCTTCGAGGTCATGTCTTCACTCAGTGTTAGCAAGCCTCTCTACTCTGCTCTCAGAAGACTCTCTCTGCAACGCCTGTCCTCTACACTCACCCGTCTCTCTCTCTCTCGTATACGTATATATATATATATTCTCTCTGTAAATGTTCGAGTTTTTGAGTCCGTTTGTGGTTTGTACAGATGTTCCGGATGATGAGAAAGCCAATAATAATACAATTGGAACAAAACCTAGCTTCATCCATCCCTCTGCGAATGTTCACCCAAACGCCATTATAGGTCAGGTAGTTCCTCCACTTCTGTTTTCTGCTTTTTATTTATATAACATGTACCTGCAGAAGAGGGGACGGATTCAGCATTGGGGCAGTGGGGGCAGTTGCTCCCATTGGAATTTTGAAAAGTTTTGGGTATTATTTGAAATTTCAGAATTTTTTTTTTAAAAAAAGTTGAAATTTGCGCCCCCACTAATATAAAAAAATTAAGTTTGTCAAAGTAACAGTATTGGGATCTAATTTGGAAAGTTAAATTATTGTTATCATTCCATTATTAATGGATCCCAATATTAACGGGATCCATTACATGCTAATCCAATGACAATAATGGATTAGATTTTAAAATTAAATTTCTAAATTAAATAAATATAGCATTATTGGTAGTATATATTTTAGATAAGTGGTATTCTTTCATAAAAAAGAAAAATTAGACTTATACTTTCTCATACGACTTAAATTAAAA